GAAAAAAATAAAAAAAAAAATGTTACAGTGGAATTACAATGTATTAGTATTGATGTTTCATTTGGTTGCACCTTTGTTTCATTCATTAAGAAACATGATGAGCAATTATATTTCACTGCAAATTTTTGTAAGTAAATTGTGAACACCTCTAGATCCATAAAGTATTTTTGAATTGGCACCTTCTCTGAAAAACCCAGCGGGTGGTATTTGTCCCTATTGGACAGTTCTAGTTTGTTCAAGACCCTTAATTCCAGCCGAGAAAAAAATCTAACGACTTAAAGGTAGCCGGCATCTCAAGAAACTATTTGTGAACCAAGTGACTGCTTTAATTTGGTGTAAGTGAACATTGTTTTCTTAATAGCAAAAAGCAGTTTATAAGGGCTGTGATTGAAGCTTTTTTCAACAAATGCATAAAATGGTCAGATGTAGCAGATTTTCCCAACATTGCAAGAGACTATGATGAAATGGAAGCTTATAAATTTCCTGGTGTGATTGGAGCCACGAATTGTTGCCATATACCAATTGAAGAACCAATACAGAATGCCAATTTATATTGTCCCCCGCTTGAAAAGTGGGGGATATTAATTTGGGTTTGTCCGTCCGTCCGTCCGTCTTTCTGTCTGTCTGTAACGCTTTCGTTTCCACACGGTATCTCGAGAACCCTTTGAGGTTTTGCAATGAAATGTAGCATAGCAACTCCCTGTGGACTAAAGAAGACCCCAATTGATTTTGAGGTCAAAAGGTCAAGGTCATAAATAAGCAAATTCTGTCTGTTAAAACACTTTCGTTTCCAAACAGTATCTCTAGAACCATTTGAGCTATTGCAATGAAATTTTATATAACAACTTCCTGTGGCCTTATGAAGACCCCTATTGATTTTGAGGTCAAAAGGTCAAAGTTCAAGGTCGTAAATTTATACATTCTGTCTGTGTGAAATACTATTATTTCCTGGAGATATTTCAAGAAGATTTTGAGCTTATGCAATGTAATTTTATATCAAAACTCCCTAGGACGTCTCTCGCCTCTCTCAAAGTGCCCCGCCCTGTTTGTTTTATATTAGTATTTATAGTATTACATGTCGCTATTTTTAGCGCAGGGGCATGAGGAGAGTTATTGCGTATAAAACAGGTTCTCGACGGACTTTATGTTCTTATTACATCTATTAGAACTGTTTAATAAAGGCTAAATAAATCAAACACCATGGATTGTGTAAAATTTTGAGAATACCGAACATGAAAACATGAATATATACATGTACACTGTATGTGACTTCACTTCTGCATATTCTTCACGCGAGGTAAAGCGATTCCGTGGTCTAGTGGTTATGGCTCTCGCTTCCAGTGTGATAGGTGCCGGCATCGAATCTCGGTCGCACCTTTTTTTTTTTTTTTTTTAACTAAATGATAGTATTCAGCATGTGAAATGAAAAATTTATGAGGTTATAAAATCATCATTACAGTGTGATAAAAATTCCATATAAAAAATCTTCTATACACATAATGAAGAATAAGCAATCAAATCTTTATATGCATATTGACATACATGTATTTTATTTGCTTCAGTATACATGTACATACATTTAATAATTCTACAAATTCAGTCAGGGGGAGCCGACTTTTTCCCTAAGCGGGGGACACAAATTCTCTGAATTAGCTTGTTATAATAGAAAGAAGTTTCATTCAATAATACTTCAGGCAGTTTCAAAAAATGATTTACAGTTTACAGATATGAATGTTGGCTGGCCCGGGATAGTATATGATGCTTAAGTACTTAGAAACTCCGCTCTCTGAGAAGTTGGATTCCAAAAATGCGCACATGGACACTACCATATTTTAGAAGTTGCAGCATATCCCCTCAAGCAGTGGCTTCTAACACCATACCGCGATAATGGCCATTTGAACCACCAAATACGTCGTTACAACTTGCAGCTCTCCTCTAAAACACAAGTTATTGAGCGTGTTCGTTCGTTCTGTAAATGTTCATTCTACTAAAGTGAATAGTGTACATGTATTAATATTATATTCTACCACGATTATTGCTGAGATCAAAGAAATGCCGCGGTTATTATTCTCCAATAAATTACGAACGTCATCAAAAAATAATCAGATCAGAAACAAGTATCAAACTTTAACAATTCAATGCATGTTTGGCTGTAGAATGAAATTCTTGTTTAGACCACATCTATATGTCGTCGTTTGCAGTATAAATACTGTAAAATGCATAAAGTTGCTGATGAATGTCGATTTTTACAGCTAAGCGTGGTTATTCAACGGACCTCCCTACACATTTAAACAACGCGAGAGCAGTAAAACAAGAATTTGGTTTTGTTACTGTTTATTAATTAAAATTAATAAATTCATATTGATATGTATTGATTAAATACATATCAATATTTGTACGAACAAATTTGTAATTTAAAAAGGCTAGTTTTAATGCTACGCAAGCTCAAATTGTCTGCATTCCATACAGAGGTAAGCAAAAAAATTTTCCCTCTGCTGTTAAATGGAACAGCGTAATCGAGACATGGTAACCTAATTCGTTTCTCTAAAGAGGAAACGATCAGCTGTATTTTAGCGATTTTTGTAGACACGGTAGAATAAAAATAAATTCCTTGTTGTCATGAATGATGCAGGATAACCTCCTCGGTCTCGAAATGTTTGAAATATTAAAGCCTTGGCTTTTATCTTTCAAACAACATTTCTCGACCTCGGAGTTTATCCTGCGACATTCACGAAAACGCGGACTTTATTTCTTAAATAATATGCTGTTCAATATTCTCAAATACCTTACTATTTTGCAAACGGACACCTGTCACACAGCACACGCAGTTTCGGTTATCTAGTTAAGAAAAGTTCTAATACTTAGTCTACTAATTGCACGCCGGGCAACGCCTGTACATGTAGATCCTAAAACTGAAATAATATATGAGCTAGTTATTATAATAAGCATTTGCACCTTATCATAATGAGAGTCATACGTAGGGGGAATGATTGACTTTAATTAATTGCTCTTTGTATGTAATTTTCATTCTGTATTCCTTTTTTGTATTTTTTAAATCTTATTTTCACCTATAATCTCCGTCCATATAAATTTCCGTCCATAAAAATTTCTGTTTCTTCTGATTTTTCGTGCGCTTTTAATGACTTCATTGAAGCTTATGAAATTATTTATAATATGCAAAAAAAGACCATTAAGTTTAAAATGCACACGTTTTTTTTCATAATTAAGAAATTCAGTTTTTCTACTATTTGTTCACAAAATACACACATAAAAATTATTCATTACCTCAAAAATGAATGTTAATAAAATTAAACCAATTCATAAAATATAAAAAAAAGATTATTACGTGCAAGAAATTTATTACCACACTTTTCCGCCATATTGCTTTCCATGTCGCCGCTTGAAATTTTTTGGGCAATCCGGGTTACTTTCTGATCGACCGGCAGCTTAAGAAAACTTAACCCGCCTCCGGAAGTACCAACCGGCGTGACCTGGCTCATGAAATAAGTGCGCTCAATGTTTTGGGGGTCTCTCGATTTGGGAACAGTTGCAACTTACTAGTAGTCGCCCATCCGCTGAAATAAGTGTTTGTGACACTATAGGCAGTCATCTGAGAAAAAAGTATGGGCATGTTCTTACGTAGATCTGGCATTCTTGTTGACTGACCCTAACACAAGGGAGCTTGTTATGTAAAATGGCCAACTAGTTATTTAAAAAACACTTGAAATCGATAAATCATATACATGTTTAGACAACTGCATTTATCATTTAGCAAAATACCTCGAGAGGTTTCCAGTGAAAAGTCAGAGAAATGACCAAGCGCATTCACAGTATTCGATTGGCTGCCAGTACACAGGGTCCTTTGGGGTGGTCCAATTACGATGAGCAATACCGCTTAAAACTAGAGTCCTATGGGCCTTTTGGGTCACCTAAACATCATGAAACAACTTTCTAATGATTGAATTTGGTTTATGTTTTAAGCTTGATGCTATGGCATTCACAATTTTAAAAGAGGCACCATTACGCATCATTAAACACTAAGCAATTGCTTAGTTTGATCACTTAATACCCTTAGCTAGGGTAGGGGAACAAAAATGCATTTCAACTAATTGTAAATGATCAGCAATTATCAGTTGTACGTGCCCCTACCACACATGAGCCCCTGATCCTGTTGGGTATTATATATTTTTATTACTCAAACAAGTAAATCTGAGAACTTGGTAGACGGCATTATTGCAGACATCCAAAACCTACCTGTAATTAATGAACTTGGGAGAAATGAGACTAACAAAAAGCAGAGAATTTCAGTGAAGGGAGAATTCACTACCAGTGATCATACCATTTCTCAAAGAACAAAGGAAAACATGCAAGAAAACATCGATTCAGGTTGAAGCTTACATGTACGACTCTTCATAAATTATGCCAATATGTCAAGTCAATGCAAATAACAAAACAAAATATTTTACAAAAATTAAATATTTTCCTTATAAAGCTTAACATTTTATAACCATCTGCCAATGCACTCATTCTAATTTGAAATTTCTATTCGGTTCCCATATCAGGATTGAAATTAAAACCCCATTATTAATAATAAAGAGAAAAATTGAGAATATTGATTACAAAGACGGCGCTACCACTCATAATCAGCTGTTGTAAGGTGTGCTAAAATTCATTCAAAGTATTCTAACGACATAGTACTTCAGTATATATGTTAGCTGGCATACAAAGGAATTTACTCAATAATGAAACACACAAGTTGCAGGTGTCTTACCTTGACTAGTAGAAGGACATCAACGAAAGCTATTAATATCTAAGAAAGGCCATAACTATGAGTTCTAAGGTCTTAATTATTGGAAAGAAGAACATGTAATCAAAGAATTCAAAGTGGAATCAACATGGTTGTATATGGACTTTTCATTTTCCTTTCTACAATCTTCTTTAAATTCGCAACTGCTCACGACTCACAAAGGTACGTAGAGAAAGTGGACAATCGAAACAAGATGTCCTCCACCACTCTTTTAACGGAGTACAGTTCGCCCTCACTAAGTCATTGTCTAGGTTTTTGTAGCAGCCCTTGTGGATGTAACTGTTTGGGATTTAACAATAACACGGAGAAATGTCGCGTTCTGAAGTCATGTGACACAGTGGACATGACGATCACTGAAGCTTTTTGGAGATACTACATTCCTACACAAGGTTTGCATTTTCCGGTTTATTATGTTCACACTTAATGATATTAAAACTGTAACTGTAAGGTTTATTAAGTCCATACTTTATTAAAGGAATTAATTACTGTCTAGTTAGTATAGTATGCCAGGGCATCAACGATAGCTGGACACATGGGATAATTTGCATAACTAGTGAAGCATTATTTATCAAATGTTTCCCACTATCATTGATGTCCCTGGCATACTATACTAGCTAGACAGCGATTCCTAATAATTTCATTTCATTGTGAAAAAAATTGTAGATTTATACTTTTAAAATGTTGACATAGATTTAAATTACACGAGAACTCCCATGTCAATTTCAACAGTACTCGCCCACTGACAAAAAACAACACAAAGGCAGCTGCACGAGATTTACATGCATATTTGGCCTCCTTGATGTCAGACACAGAGACAGATGCGCACGAGATTTGCATGCATATTAGACCTCCTTAGCTCTTGACCTATGGACTTGCCTACTTAACATTCGAATAAAATTATCAAGAAATCAACTCTGTTACCTTTCAACGAGTTGTCACAGAGAAAAAATAGAAATAAGATATTATCACTCTAACGTGATGTAAGTGAATAGTTAAATAGGACGTGACTTGTCTGAATAATATCTAATATCACATTCAATTCTACCGTCCGCGGTAGCCCAGTCGGTAGAGCGCTCCCTTTGTGAACGGAAAGTCTTAATAGAATGCCGCCACTGACCTAAGACGATTAAAATGAGTAGTAAATGTTCTTTCGCCATGTGCTCGGCACTTTGAAGTGAAAGTTTTGGGTCCTTTGGATGAGACCTTAAAATCATAGACCCCCTGGCACGGTAGGCGAGGGCACCAAAAAGATACTTCACTGCTCAATGACCCTGAGCGCGGAATAAAAATCAAAATATGAAGCCCTTCACCGGTTTATGGTGGCGTTCATTTATGAGTGAAAAGGGACGTTAATCAGCATGTAATCAATCAATCAGATTCAATTCTTGAAATTCCTAAGTTTCATAGAGATGGACGTTACACAACAAACAATCAATCTTTTCATGGCGGAGTATTGATATTTTAGGAATGATAAGTATTTACTTATAAACATAATGAAACTGGAATTTAGATATTAAAAATCCCAATTATTTATGTTACTCTCAAAAATACGTACATTTAATCAAAGAGCAAACTATCTCTAAAACATAAGAGATAGGACCGGATGTAATTGAGGTGATGGAATCTTTTACTAACCAGTCACACCCGCTGTGTGCTCCTTGTCATGATCGGGGGAAAACGAAAACTGTAGGCAAATCAGTGTAAAAATAAGATTAAACAAATAATTTGTATGAAAACGTCAGTCAACATTTGAATTATTATCACAGATTTGCCTGGTGACTGTAAAACGCTGTATGACAAAGGATGCAGAACGTCTGGTGTGTACACTATATACCCCTGGGTGAGGTACAGTCCTGTGTGTCGGTCTACCAATGTCTTCTGTGATATGGAGGCCGGAGGCTGGACGGTAAGTTCTAACAAAACTAAAGCAAGATTTTAATAACTGTGCCTTATTGCTCTTAAAAAAGCATCATGGGCTTGAACAAAAGAAGCATTATGTTTGTTTGAATAATTTCGTTAAATTTATCAAAAAAATTGATTTTAAAAGGCTATCCAAATGCGAAAAACTGGATCAGTCAACTTTACCCGGAATTGGAATGATTACAAGGTCGGATTCGGAAATCCAGAAACAGATTACTGGATTGGTAAGACACAAAAATATATTTTTACAAATGATTGTCTGAAAGGCCTTCTTTATTTGATAATCAAAATAGATTGAGAAATGTTTAGGTTTTGAATACTTTTTGTGTAGCCTAGAGAGCGGGACTGCACTTAAGAATCACTTTACAAGGCCTTTGTGTGTCTGTAACACCCAGTAGGTACATGTGTGGATATGGTATTTTGCATTTACGAAGTTTTTTTTTTTTTTTGCTTTTGTTACTGACCTCGCGACCCTGCATGAACTGGATCTCTGACTTTGAACAGCTTTTTTTTTTTTACATTTAAGAGTTAAGTTTATGTGAAGGCTACTAAGCATTACACACTTTTCCATAAATCATTTGAAGAAATATAGCGTTAGTCTATACTTCTCTAAAAAAAAAAACTCTAGCAAAATTATACTTGTTTTTTTTTCTGAGTTAGGAAAGGCATGACTTTGATAATTGCATTAATGAGCTTAAGATACTGTTTTTTTAATGTATGCTATACAGTTACCCTATTAACTTAAAATTAAAAAATACAATGAAAGAAAATAAAATCCGAGAATCAATCATTTTACATTTCAGGATCGGCTATACATGATAAAAACAACGCAAACAAATATCATAACAAATATACTGTTTGCAAATTAAAGCTTTAATAATGCAAAGGGAACGATACATGCGTATATTGAATACTCAAGAAACACATTAATAATGGAATAGAGTGTGATGTATTTATTACTTAATTTAAAAAAAAAATACTTTTCTTAATTTTAAAAATACATTTTTTTTTATTTTAAAGGACGAACGGACAGACGCAGAGAAACCTATAGTCCCCTCCGGTTTCAACGGCAGGGGGACTAAAAAGAATTCAATACACTAAAGCACATATTTCTTACAGGAAATGACGCAATTCACCAACTAACAAAAGATCGTCCCTCTCTGAATGTTTCCATCACACTAAATGACGTAACTACAAAATATCAGGTCTATCACGAGTTCTCGGTATCGGACGAGAATGACAACTATACGCTCTTCCTCGCTGGTCCAGTCACCGGAACTCTGAGTAAGAACTCGCCCATTTCAGCATATTTCATTGATACATGCAAGTTCACTCAAAGACAGTATATGATAGTCATTAATAGAACATCAGTTTCATATCAATAAAGCTTTTTAGTTGTTACACCGTAAATGCGTATGCATTATTTAAATTGCATAATTGAATGGTGCTTACCTTTGGATAAATGTGGGAAATTCTTTCTTTGACATGAAAAGAATACTGATGAGTCTGTATGGAGATAACGAACAGTATCCAAGAAACCGTCATCAATTCAGTGTATAAAAAAATAGCCTAACAATTAATATGAAAATTGTAAATCAGCATTTAACTCAGTGATAAATTATATTTGCTGACTAGGTCTTTGTTAAGACTTAACCAGAGGGCCGAAATTCTTGTTGTATCTACATAATTGTCAATAATTAACCAAAGTTTAAGTCATCACGTTTGTCATAGAGTTTGGTTGTTAGATTACAATTAACTTCTTTTTCAAGTAAAATATCAAAATGAAATAGATATGTTGGACTCTGTGGTATCTTTTGTCTCAAGCTCACCAGGATATATCGTATCGATTTAAGAATGGGAATTACCATTCTAAATTGACAATACGCCGTTGATATATCTAAATTTTGAGTTGAAGGCCACAGCAAGTGTTATTTTTTCTTTTCAAGCATAAGACTTTGCTCAAATCCCGCTTCATATGAATACAAAAATAGACTTGTTAATAATTAGGCGCAATTGGTAACCATGGGGATTTTTAAACTGTCGGAGGACCTGTCTCCAAAAACAACTGAATTAGAAAGAAATTTAAGCTTTGCCTGTTTGCACTCTAAATAAAGTGATGTTAGAATTAACAGTCTACTTATCGAATAACTGCTTAAGCCTCTATATATTTCATGTCATGAACCTATAAAACAGTAATGGTTTTGACACATACATATCCTTAAAATCACATTATGATTTAAACACTGAAACAAAATACTATTTTTATGTTTACACAGGTGACAAAATGTTACATACGGATCGTCCAATTGCTGGAATGGCATTCTCCACCCATGACAGAGATAATGATAGGAAGGGCGAGGGGTACAGCTGTGCCGTGAAATTGGAGGGAGGTTGGTGGTTCAATAACTGCCACCAGGCCTTCCTTAACGGGCCCTGGGCCCCCGGGATTTGGCGGGAACCCTGGTCACCGGTTCTGTGGTATGGATCGGCTATCACCGAGACTAGAATGATGATTAGACCGCGCTAAATTCTGTGAAATTACTAATTTTCGTTGGGGTTAATTTTCGTTGTTTTTGAGGCAAGGAGAGACCCTCGATTTTATGACCAACACGAAATATAAAATTTAATATGCATTATTACTTAAACATTCTTTATCCACGAAATCAAGTCCCCGCAAACTAAGATTTTTTCCTCAAACTTCGAAAGTTTGACCCCAAGAAAATATGTGATTTTACAGTACACAATATGGTTCTGTGTTGTTTTTTTTAATGTATTTTTTTATTATATGAAATAAAAATAAATCGATCTGTTGTTGTTTTTACATTTTTATTCTTTTCGTATTATTTAAAATAAAAGATATCGGAATAAAAAAGACGATGCAGTTAAATATCAAGGATTTTATCCGACATATTTCTTAACATTAAAAGATAAAATATAATCGATTTAGTGTCCCTTGTTGTTGACACGGTATTAATTCTTACTTAAATTTTTAATTATCAATATATTTCTATATCATTGTTCTATTAATTTTCGGTCTTGTTTGACATCTGTTGATGAAAGTTTCTTGTTTTCAAGTGATGTTTAGAAAAGTCATTTTTTCACATGGTAGTCATACCTTATTCTTGACATCTCTTTCCGGCCTTATGATATCAATGGCATTTACTCCTACTTGTTATCAACTTAATGATTAGATCTTAATTATAAGACTGTGTTCTTTGAATTTATTATGCTTAGCTCTACCTAATTTAAGTGTTGTAAATTGGTGTTATACAGATTCCCCCTGTTCATGCAACTTTTATCGTTAATATAAGTGGCTGATCAGTACGAAAGTGTGCGGAGTTCTCAAAGATTAGATGTGAGAGAGTTTGTAAGTGAGTCTATGTGCGAAAATTCTTTGTTAACTTCAATTTATTAAATCTAAGACATTTTTTGTAACATTCAGTTTGTTCCATCTACGAAATTTGTTATAAAATGTGTGTTTTGTGAAAACTATAGCTTTGGACTTGCAATAAAATGTAAACTTTAAAATCGATTTATTGACTATTACCGACGAATTAAAAAAATAAAGCAACGATTAGCGTAACTCTAAAAGCAAAACTATATTAATTTTAAACTTTGTTCAAATGACGTACTCGGGGATAGTACAGGGCTGCAAAAGACTATTATTTTTATTGTAAAAGATCTGAATGTCTCGAACCTTGATTTCACGAAGTAAAACCCCTATTCTGATATTTCGTCATATCTCCTTTACATCACTAGGAAGTTCCTACAATTTGTACGGTTCAAAGTTCCTATTTCGAGAACTACAAACCTTGGTCCCGTAAATCATATTCATTATTAAAACCATGATTTCCAGGGCATCAATTGAAGGCAAATAAGAGGATCAAACTTTACATTTGAAACATACATAATCAAAGATCACGAAGCTCACCTCGACGAATGTTATCAGTTTTAGTAATGTAAATCGCACATCATATTTACTAAAAGGTTAGTATATATCCTGACAAAAATATTCAAGCAAATTCTGTTTAAATAGGTCTTAAAGTTCATTCGGGATTTACTCGTTCCAAAACCTTTAACCTGGTCATTCGTTTGGAAAATGTAAGTCAGTTCCTGCATCCGAAATTTTGATAACATTGTATCCTTAGATGCATCATTCATACAAGTTTAGTCCGGGTAGGGCAAATAGCTACTTGAGAATGAGCCTGCTCCAAAAACTTTAACCTAGTTACTCATCTGGAAAATGTAGGTCAGATCCAGCATCCGAAGCAAGTCTAATAGTGTCCATCCCAAGATGCATCATACATGCAAGTTTTGTCTAGGTAGGGTAGGTAGGGCTTATAGTTACATGCATTGGGAATGAACCTGTTCCAAAAACGTTTACCTGTTTACTCATCTTGGAAATGTTGGTCAGATCTAATCCGAAGCAAGTCTGGTATTTTACATCCCTAGATGCAGCATACTTGCGAGTTTAGTCCGTGTAGATGCACTATCCATGTGTCCAGCTGGTAAGGCTAATAGTTAGTGATAGTTACTTGGGAAAGGACCTGCTCCTCAATCTTTAACCGGGAGGCCGACGATGGGGGTATAGTATAAGCTCATCCCCACTTCGTTGAGATGAGCTAAAAATTCTCTACAAAGAAATAATATTGGAATACACAACAAGACTAAACCGATTAAAAACAATCAGCGTATCGCGTGTTACGATTTATTGTAAAACGTTCATATTTGATCTCACAGCTTAAGGAATAGAGCTGTCTTAGAACTCAGTGCGTTTAAAAAGGTCGATATGAATGTAAGAAAAAGGAGCTTATATGTAATTATGTAATATAATTCTGAAAAAAGATAACTTGCTAAACAATACTGCCCTTAGGTCCCAACACATGGAAGGCTAACTCAAATCTTGGGAGGTTAATGTTTTTGACAAAGAAGGTGTTGCAGTTCTTTTGTTATTTTCCCTATAAGTGTAGCAGATAATACGAATAATTTAAAGGAACTTCAAACAGTGTAAAAAAAAATTCTAATGCAAATTTATATATTATACAATGTGGAACTATACTTGGAAAGTTAATATTTATTTATATTATTTTAATAAATGAAATGTAAATAAGTCACATAGCGAAATTTGACATATTGTGTGCTTTTCTAGTAGGGAATCCCCATTATTCTGAAAAAGTGCCTCCTTGAAACAAAATGAATTTAACATAAACATATAGAGAATTTCCTTCAAAATTGCTATTTCCGATTTTTGTTTCAAAGAGGCACTTTTTCAAAAAACTAAAAAAATTGATGAAAAAAAATATATTTCCAAGATGTAGGTACAAAGTTAAAATCTACGAGATAATAACCGTGTTCTGACTGGTCCAGTGGTTATGCAGGTGGATTGGAAATATATTTTTTAAATTGGAGGATGGGTTCGAGTCCTGATATGGCTGCATTATTTTCTTTTTTTTAAAGCAAATATTGCAAATATAATAAAATATATGTATTTTTAAAAATATACTGTATGAAGGCAAAAATCGGAATTTATTTGTGAAATTTTAAATATGAAAACATGTTTTCCTCGTTACTGTGATCTCAAACTTCCTGCGTTCTGTCAACAACATAAGCAAGAATAGTGTTTCCATTATTGTTCAACCTATACTGGCTCCCACAACGATGGGTTTACATGCTACAGAGTCTTCCGTGAAGACAGTGAGTGGAATAGATAGAAGAAGTGAAACATAAATCATGCCGTTTTCAAAGAATCGATGCGAATTATGCAGGTCATTTAAAAACAAAGGCCAAACAAGAAAAATATCTGATAAACAATTTGAATGGACAAAGCGGCAATCGGCAGATGTAAATTCTGATGGATATCTCTGTTCCAAGTGTTTATCTATAAAATCACCAGAATCAACATCCAATGTTTTTTTTAGAATCAGATCAAGGTCTAAAGAATTGTAAACATAAACATTTCATTAAAGTGCCCTTTCCCCGCGCTGGCAAGTCAATATCAAAAAAGCAAACATACAAACACAGGTCTTTGTGTTGTGCCAGCTGAGACTAGTGAGAGTAGATATATTTTTGAACTATGGCGTCCTCATACCACTGGGTGTGTATTGTTGCAAATCCCATTTGCAAAACAGAAAACTGAAATCACAAATAAACCTTCATGCAAAAACAATTAAAAGAAAGGAAATATTGGCTGCTGATGTTGTTTGTGTCCTCAAGGACATTCGCAACGTTATTTCAAATACAGTCAACAAAAGACTTGATTTTGATGAGGATTCGTCATATTCCGATGAGGATCTCTCCAATTTGACTGGAGTTAAAGCCCAGTTTGCAGATCTTGTATCAAAAGCAGCTTTCGAAACCTCTAAACAACGCCTTGGAAGTCCTAAACAAATGATAGGCATGCTTCTTTTAAAGCTTCGAACGGGCCTTTCTTTGAGGTACATTAACATACCTACATCTAAATAATGTCAACCCTACACATATTATACAATAATTGCTGTTTTAGATAAATATAAGTACATGTATGTAGATCCCTACATGAGAAGACGTAACATATTCCCCGAGCTTGAAGGGCGAGGTGAATTTTTCACTTTGAACTTGGCTAGCAAAAGATATTCAGTTAATCATAATCAGATATATTTTCTAATAACTTTTAAATTTACTTTATCTAGGTGCTATGAAAAACCATTCGATGTCTTTAAAAACAAAGTATTTAAGGAAAACAAATGCAACAAAACTTACTTGAATATATGTGCCCCTGCTGTTCCTTACCAGATTTACCCCCTTGTCATATATTGTGTCTTTACCCAATCTCTCTGGGGTCATGACTTGAATATTTTCAAATCATCAGGACGCTACAACATGTTTAAGTTTTTCTGGTCCTTTGGTTTTTCCTCATAAGATTTTTAATGATCCTATCTTATACTTTTCTTGATAAATGCCCTTGGGAAAGGGCTTGGTCCTTCCTATAAATAATTGAGATTTTCATTACCTCAGGAATGTTTTGTATTAATTTTGGTTAAAATGAGCCAGGGGACCAGGTTACAATATAAGCAACTCCAATATAAGTGTATTATCTTTCAACCAGACACTCGGTTTTCCCCGTAAATCTCCGACAAGCAGAGTCGGAGATGACCCAGTGTCTGTTTGAACAAGAGTAGTATAAAAGGACATATTTCCATAGAAATACCTTTCACCAAATGCTATTTATTTACTAATGCATTATTCAATACCTTCGTTGTACAGCTGATTAGAATGCAAAATTGATGCATAAAAATTGTGTATTGGTATATTGTAGATTGATAGGAACTTTGTGTGGGTCAAAAAAAAACCATATCAAGTTTCCAGGATGATCCAGAGAGCAAAACTGGAGCTTTCATCAAACTGTGTACCTGATTTCCTAGGTTTCGATTCAATAAGTAGAGAAGATGTACTTAACAATCACACTTCTGATCTTGCTGTCTCTATATTTAGCAATTTCCTGTCCGATTCAGCTATTCTTATACTGGACGGAACATACATTTACATACA